CATAGTTACTATTGAACTTGCTACCTTACTGTGATTTTCATATTGACCTTTGACCTACTTTTGGCCATGAGAAATTCTTCACAAATTTGGATTTTAACTTTTACTTTTCACCATGATTTTGTTTTAAGTTGTATTTTTAACAATAATATTGAGAACTCTTGTTTACTGCATTTTGTTGAGCATGTCGAGCACAACACTGGAGGTGGTGTCTCTTTTTTGTTTTCTGTTTTCCAGCTGGTGATACAATCACTGGTGTTGCGAATACAAAAACATAATTTTCCGGTGGAGGTATAAACATTTATTTACACACGTCTTGACACAAACTGATGACGGTGAACTGAAATAATTGAAACAAATGAAACAAATGAAAGTAACAGAATAAACAAATATAAATTTCAACTTAATACAAATATCACAATAAAGAAATTACAATAAAACACATATATAAAATAACTAAATACATACATAACAATGCTGCCTCCACTCATTCGCGTACAGTACTAGGCGTGTTCCAACCACGACAATACATGGTGACGTTTTATTACTACTCAACAGAACACCAATCATCCAACATATGAGGGCGCCACTCACACCAAGACGAGACAACACAAAGTAAACATGACAAACAACACAAACAAACGAAACAAAAAATTGCCGACGACACTGTCGGCAACAACTGGCGTGGTTGCGTTTATTTTAACATATTTAAATTATCTGATCAAATTGTCATCAAACCAGCAGAGCTTGAATTGATTGACTTATTATAAATTTAAAAAAACGTGATTTGATTGTGATTGTCATTTAAAACCAGAAACCTTGGTTGTCTTTTTACAGTCCCGACTACCCAATGTCACGTGTGCACTTACACGAAGTACGAAACATCCAACAGCCAGTTGCAGAGGACCTTCGATCAAATCACCCAAGCAACCAACGTACCCGAGTGTCTGGACAAAGGTTCCGAGACTCCCACAATGTCCTGCGAAGGTTCTTGTTCAAATACCGTAGCAACTGTCACTATGAGTATGGTAAGTATAAAGTGCATTCACGTCGAGAAGAGCCGAGGTCTAGGAAGGCCGAGACTTAAATATGGCGACCCTACATGAAAGGACCTCGGCTAGACCTCGGCTCTTCTCGATGTGAATGCCCTTATAGACATCCATAGAATATAGGCCACAGATAATAACACTGAGTGGAATACTAGTAACATCAGGAGAGCTACGGGTTATTACGGATGTTTATAAAGAGGGGGGTGGCGGGAAATGATAGGTGTTCAAAGCCAGCGACAGCTGATTTCTAGAGGTCGAAGATTTGGATTTATTGCCAACGAGTACCAACTGGCAAAACTTGAACGCATAAATTAATAAATGTTGTTGCAACCGGATACTTTCTGGGCGAATGTAACTACGAGCGACCCATCTTTGAAAGACTGAAATTATTTTGATATTTTATCTGAAAAAAAGGGAGTATTTGAGCATCATTGTAATTGAAAAAAATTCAATGTGTGAAGGACGTGTGCAAATAAACGTAATGAGCATCATATCTGAACGTGACAAGCCCCCGCCCACCTCCCCATCCCGTATATCAAGTGTTTGACTATATACATTTCCAGTATTGTTTGTACCAGTGACTTGTTTGATAACACCAATTTCTCTGACTCTCACGGTGATCATCTTTCAGGGAAAGTACAATGTGCTATGAACAAGCTATTTCCTAATTTTCGATATTCTCTTTAATTTAAGAGAGGCATGTCCGTGACTATGAAAATAGCCCAGCGCGGATGCGCCGGAACAGAAACGGAGGAAAAATGCGTGAAACTGACGGAGGAAGATCCGGTCATCACTCAAGTAATCCCTCTCGATTCACTGAAGGCAATGGGACTCGGGGACTTCGGGATCGACATGGAGTACTGCACCTGTAACGGGAACCAATGCAACATGGAACATGGAACGAAAGCAACATGGAACATTGAGCATGCAACATGGAACGAAAACAGCATGAAAAGCACACCTTTCACTTCGGGCAGTAACGCGCCAGTATGGAGTGCGTCCTTCCTGATCTTATCGGCCATTGCTGCCCTGCTGTTGTAGAAGGGCATGAACTTACCATATTCATTCCAGAGTTCTAGAGTTTGTCAAGTCTTTTCAAATTATCTTAACAAAGCAAACTTTAAATTTATATACACATGAAATCGATGTAATTGAAGAAATAGCCTTTCTTAGACACTTGTTTAATGTTTTTGTAGTTTTGTGTACCACTAACCGTCTGTTGCGCAGCTATTTTGTATCCACGACAGCCCTAGAGCCTAAAATGACATCCTTGGCCTTTTGTATAGGTTAAAATTTTGCCTCTGCCATTGAAGGCGGTGTCTGAACATGTTCGTAACCTACCGTTTCCATTCCACCTAGAGACAACCAGACGGCCTTCCTTTTTGCAGTCATTCAGCTGGGGACCACAGCGGGCAATAATCGGTGTATTATTTGAGAAGCTTTATTTCGATCTACTTTTTCCTCATTGCGTATTGTCACACCTAGCGTAAAGGGGCACGTGTGAGGAGCGTATGCGACATCGGTTTAACGCACAGTTTTGAGCGTATGAAATCACCCTGTTTTCAGCGTATTAAAATGAAGATATAAGCAGCGCATGGAATTGTTTTTGAATATGCTCAAAGCATGTTATCTCCTTCCGGGTATGCGAAAGTACCGAATGTTTGCTTGCGTACTCGAGACGTTGTGTTTGTCTACGTATGGGCAAGTTTTCTGATAGGTGTGACAGTCCCTGGGCTTGTATTGCCTTGCGCCTAGCCGAAACATCATTGACATTAAGCGGAAATATGATTTCATGTGTTATTATATACCGGTGTGGTGTTTTTTACGTATAGGGATAAAAGAATCATCATATTAATCTACTTATCAGTTAATTATGTGGCATTAGACAGTTTCTACTATTTTCTATTCAAGTTACAGTAAAGAGGCAGTATACTAGATAGGGAACGAAAGTACTACTACTTTAATATGGCAATTTTATGTGAAGTGGGAAAAAAAGAATGAGTGCATGTAATCAACCAGGCGACAAAAGTCCAGTAAAGACAAAAAGAGGTCTCTAAACGTACATGTAAGTAGAATTTTGTTAAGGTTGTGTAAGAGTAATGAATGGTCAATTTCAAAAAAAAAAAATTTGGGGACACACAAAAAAATCGTGAATTATATTTTTCTCTCCAAAATCCCCAGTACTGTTTCTTTAGCAATGAGATCGTGGTTGATATTTTTTAAAATACTTAAAAATATTGGAGTGATTGTGTTTTTAATAAAGATCAGTATATGCCAAACAGTTGTCATCTTTTTTAGTTCATTTTATTGTGTGTAGCTGAGATGAGATATGACTGCGGATGTTAACGCTCAACTCAAATATGCATGGAATCGACTGTATCCCACCAGCAGGGTTAATGAAAAATATTGCCATTCAACCTTTGCCTGAAAATTTCAGAAATTTAAGCCACAACTGTAAGTGTACAGGTTTCCTTACATCCTACTTTTTCTTGGCGATTGCCCTTTAAATGTTGCCCCAGATAACCTGCTTGGAGAAGCAAGTACATTTACAATCTAAACAATATAAGGTCTGTGTATTATTTGCACTAATAGAGAATTTGCAAAAATAGCCTATTACTTACGATTAGTTCTGCAGACATCAATTCATGTTTATAAGATTTCCTTAACACGACTGGGTGGTTTATTAGCCACTGGGTGATGAAAATAGTGAAAATAGTGATGGCTGTGAAAGAGTATAAACGGTAGCTTCTATCATCATCATTTAGTGCATTTATTTTTACGTGTCTGTCAATTCTTATTATTTAAACCTCATTTTAAAAAGTTTTAAAATAAAGAATGCGTTAAAATATGCAAATATTTGCTTATTTTGTTGTCTTTTACAATGGACAAATTCTATGACAGAATATCGAGGTTCATAAAGTATGTATTAAATACCAACATAGACCTGAAAGTCTATAAGAATAGCTTTGAACATTTTTGTTTTGAAGATTGTTCAATATTCGGTACATGGATGATCCCATGCCGGGGCTACATTCATATGTCGAAGATAATAATTATTGAATATCTGCACTTAGACATTTATTTAATTCATCTGCGTATAAAAAAATTCAAGGCAATTTATGAAATCATGCACATTTGTCATTAAAAAGACACGACGTACATTTCAACGCACCGGAATCAATTATTTACTTTGAAATTGCGTTAGGTGAGATAAAGTTACGACGTTAAGGCAGCACAACAAATACAGTATTGATCACCACAGCCGAAACATCTGACTGTCTCCTTATTTATGTCTCTCGTTCATGCCATTCGATATTTGATATTAACATCGCTTTTAGAAGATATTGGTATCATTTTATTAAGTTTTGGAGATCCGATTTTCATTGGTCACGTTCTTTAGCTAGAGAAAATTCATCTAAAACGTTGGTCTTCACGGATGAATCTCTCCATTACGTAAAGCTTTGGGATATTTCCAACTGAAGTCCACGACATTTTAACATCAAAGACCCCAAGCCAGCGTATGATCTGTGGTCAAGTACATGTAGAATACATTTATGCAAGCGTATTAGCCTGAGTAGACGCTAGAGGAGAGCTCTTACCTGTGTACTAAAGGCAGTGGAATTCAATACTTTTCAAGTCCATAAGTGTGTAGGCCGTGTAGGCTCTGTGAATATCTCCCAGAACAGTACATACCTGTAGCGCTTACTCAGATCAGCCTTTCATTTACGGATGTAGGGGGTGTCACGAAGGTCCTGACTCCAAATTCGATTAAAAAAACACCAATGGTCCCCTCTTTAAATAAGAATTTACACTAGCTGAATCATACCACGGTAGTTCTAAACCGTACCATATGGCGCTGTTCGCCCTCTAAAATACCAAATATTTCGGAACCCTTCGGCGTGCCCCGAAAGGGGGGGGGGGGTGTGGTTGGCTTTGCATCTGCATACCCTTCAAATAATCCTGGATCCGCCCCTGCCTTTTAATGCAATGGACTTTAGATATGTTCTGTAGGTTCACGTTTAAGGCAAAATTGGACATACCCTTTGTTTGTTTACACGGTGTGGGTAACATCTTGTAAAGAAGGATTCAACATGAGCAAAAATAATTGCCTGTCATCTGTATTTGCAGTTGTCATTCATTATTAGAACGAATACGAAGAGTTTTACAGTCACAGCGGAATATGTTTCAGGACTACTAGAAATATAGAAACCCACGGCCGTTTATTCGTTCAGATCGGTTTCGATGGATGCACCTTACCAACACACAGTGTAGGGCTATGCGTGCTTGATATAAGTACCTTGAACATATATATTTTGCTCCGTAATCCTGGTACCCATCCACGTTCTGTATGGATGATCTTTCGTAGGGGAAATGCTGCTCTGATATTCATAAGAAAAGTACTGGATGAAAATCACTGATCACCCTGCTAAACAGTGCTGGCCATTTACCTGGACTTCTGCAGTGTCCGTCTTCGACATGTAGGCCTAACGACCGTTACCATTTTATTATATGTTAATGATTTCGACTCTTTGGATAAAAGTTAAATGTTATATCATGTAGTAGCAGAACGAGCCTTTAACAGTAATATACACATGTTACCTACAAAAAAGGCAACATGGTTTGTGCTGAGTATACAGCAGTTTGTCACTTCTTGCGACAGCCATTGCGTTGGCGATACGCGGGATGACGTGGCCTTGGCGTGACCTTTCCTGGCTCCGTTCTTCTTAGTGGAACTCCAGGGCGATGGCGTGATAAATATATGTATTGATCTCGAGTCCTTCCAAAGGGATCATTAGACGCATCGCATCTTGATTATCAATAAAAACAGATTCAAATCCACTATCTCAAAATATACCGTCTCTCGATATGTAGATAAATGAATAACCTGTGATAAAAGAATTGAAATCCAGCCAATTATTTCAAAATTCGTCTGAATAGATGAATCATAATGATATGATAATGTATATCTAATTGAAATAGTGGGGAAAATTATTTTTCTGTACCCTGAAGGCAGTGCTTTGATCGAATGCATTTTCCCCTACTCAAAGCGAACGCGGTGGGGCACCTTTGAGTTTGAAAACTCCTCGTGGTAATTTTTCTCAAATTCGATATTGTCACGGCATGTTATATCGTCTATACTACACCTGAGACTTTCATTTTCTGATAGTGGTAATTTTTCTTCCACTTGAGAATTCGTTGCTTCTCCACATGGTCCTTCAGTTTTGCTGTTTTTTTGGTGATAGTCGCAGACGACATCGTCGTCCCATTTTTCCAGTGTGTCCAAGGACACAATGTAAACCTCCTCAGCAGCCATTTTTGATTCCGCAGAAATCCCTGCAGGGTTTCTATTTCTTGGGGTTGCCTCGTTACTCTTGAGCAGAATTCCTTTTGGTTTTTCATACACATGAACGCTGCAGTCCGCCATGACAGTTGTTGACTTGGTTTGGTAGTTTTGCAGCGGTTTCATCTCCATGATGTCCACGTTTGGCATGTCTTGATCTTCGGACGCCACAACCTCTTGTACCACGGCTAGCGTCTGCCCGGCTCCGTGAATGGTGGAGTACCTGTAGTAGTTGGTCCTGTGCTGTTCTCCCGCGCAGGAATACTTTTTTGGCTTCTTGGTTTGAGCCTTTTTGTGTTTTGTCCCACTGAAATGTAAAGAGAAATGAAGGCATTGTTAGGATTCTTTCGTGTGTTACTGATAAAGAAACAAGTTTTGGCCTTAAGAGTTATACTCATATCATTTCTATTTATTGCTTCTTTTTTCTTCAAATATGGTATTTCCCTATTGTAATCCACCCTTTAAAAAAAAGTAAATGCGATTGGCTCTAGAAAAGACAACATTTAGCATATTTCAAAATATAACTCAAAGAAAGTTAACACGTGAAGATGCGAGTAAGTGGGCAAGTCTTTACACTCTCTACTATGAGTGAACGCTTGCGGTGTAGTCTTTCCACTAGCTCAATGTTACCTATTCAGCACGGTTAACACTGTCAGTAATACTCTCCATTTAAAAAGGAAGGAGAAGTTTTCCAGAATATGTGCCAATGTATAGAATCAATTGAGGGAAGTCCTTCAGTATACAGTAATCAGAATAGCAATACTCAAAGGATGGCGTAGCTCTGATATACTTGCACGACAGGGCAAGTATTAAACACAGTAAAAGATTGCTTTGCTTGACAAAATGCTGCATAACATTAAGAAAAAAAAGGAGACTGTTGATAATCCGACTCGCACATTGAATACAGCATGCTATCTTATAGGGGGTCACTAATGATTATTTCACAATTTTGACCTTCTTATTTTAAATAACAATTTGAGAAAAGCACTTGATAGACGGGCAAGCATTGGCTTCTTAGTTGATCGAATAATTGCAATTCCGTGTGGAATATATAAGGTATCCTGAAACTGTTTCATTTCACCAATGGACAACACTGATATCTTATCAGCAAAATCTTAAAAGTAAAATATCTCACTCAAACACAAACTTTATCTGTGCTTCTTTATTTTATAGTACGAAATGACTTGGACAATAAAAAATGTTTAGACACATCTTTTGTCCGGGGGGGGGGGGGGTCATTAGTTTCCTTCTGTTATAGTAGACGCCGAGTTGGGGTTTAAATACAGGGGTATTTAAGCTCGTTTTTTATCCGTTCTGACCACCTGTTTTTTCCCTCAGATCTTTTGCGAAATTTCAGGTCAATTTAATATTCCATATTACTTTATATATGTTGAGTTCTACCGGTTAGGTATCTGACAGGTAAACTGGATTTAACAAATATGTGATGTGGGAAGGGGAATATGTTAAAATATAAGGCAGCATATATCTAAATATCTGGCTTTATCTTTGTAACGTTCCTTCGTAATATTTGTTACGCCATGCAGCATTCAGATAGTTTACAAGGTTTGCACCTAATATCAACTTTTGTGATTGTTACATCAACCAATTTACCAGACGACGTCACTGTACCAGTTTGTCTATTTTCAAGCATAAATGACACGCTTGCTAGCGTGATTTTAGATTTAAAAATAATCTTGTTGCCCTTAGAAAGTACTGTTCAAATGAAGTAGCTAAATGCCACGGTAATTATGCAATTTTTTCGTATATCGCAATAAATAATTAACTCCAATGTTATTATAAAGTGAACCCCCTGGATGATAAAGCACGGATTTCTATATAATCAACTGTTTTACCCAGTAATTTCACCCGTCACGGTTTTCCTAGGTTACTCTTAAGATAGATTGATCGATTGAGTAATTTAAAGATGCTGAAGACCAACAGTGAAATGTAGTAATTACGACGTGACTCCCGAAGGATGGCGGTTCTCCACAACTGAGCTTTACCAGACTCTTATCCACATATTAGATAGATTTTCTTCATGGCAGGAAGGGGATGTCTTAATCGTTTTAAGGTCGTTCCTTGGCGATTGTATGCTTTACCAAAGATTGTGTCTTCGGTGCGCAGAAAATATAAGGTTTCCGCGTTTATCCGACTGCATGTGTAACCTTCATCAAATAGCAACCGACCACAAAAGAAGGAAGTAGCTGTTTAATTACATATAAAAGCGAGTCTTTTAATATATTAAAATATCACAGGGATATTTCTCACTTTGATATTTTAATCTTGGCATAAACATAACAGACATTAACGTAGGCAAATGACCCAGCGTCTTTTCGAGTGCAAATAAGCCCATTTGAACATTGATCGATTAGTCGACCATTGGGTGATCCACGTGTACTTTAAATAGTGAGTGACTTGCCACGTGCAGCGTGCATCCACATTGATGCATTCAGGTAGTTTTACTACACGGAGTTACCATTGGTGTGGTTGCTATTCAGAATATGCTTTCCAAAGTCACACTTATGACTGTTTAACTTTAATATTACGATTTTTTTATATCTTTTCGAAAAATATATTTGTATTGACATGCACTATTTAGTTGATTCGAGGTAAATTTGTTTTATGTAATGTTATGGATCAATTAAACAGTAATTATAAGTTATTTTCTTCACAACATTCCAGGTGGGGTCTAGATGATAATAGGCAGATCAAGGTCTCTGAAGAAGCCTTTTACCAGCCAGCTTGCTATTCTAAGCAATGCTTCAGTCCTATACCTTGCTCTTAAAGTTCCAGATGCTCAGCGTATTTCACCAGGACAATAAGGTTTGCCTATACACTACACACAAATGATCCAAGTACCTTCCTGTCTGTTTGAATTTGAAAGATAATTCTTTTGCATTCGACCAACCATTGGGCCTACGTGAATGCTCTGCCTGCTAAAGGTTGGATAATCGTTGGACCATTGTTGGTTATTGTAAGTTGGCCCAGTGTTAATGCTGTGTTGGTTTAGAGGGTGGTTAATAGCTTGGCCAAGGTGGGTGAACAGTCGGGTCTCCGCAAGACCAACGTGAATGCACTTTTGGTTAGAGGTTGGGTAATTGATGGGCCAATATTAGTTATAAATTGTAGGGTCAACGTTGTTTAGTTGCAATATGCTAGTACTCAATTAGGTAACCTTGGTCCAACGTTGACCAAAATGAGCACTAAGATGGAAACCCTACGTTCGGCCAATGTTTGCACGCCGGCGCCATTTTGTTATCAGTCTGGATAAGGTACTATGTTGCTCTAATCAAAAGTCTTGATGGTTGAGAAAAATAGAAAAAAATGTTGCTCAACTTTTGAACATCAGTAAAAGATGCATATTCTATAAAATGGTGCAATTTTATATGTTCTCTTGGATATAATAAGTGTCAATTTATGCTATATAAAGCATGGCATGAAATATTTAGTCCACAAACCGCACGTGTTTCAGACATTTGTATAATTTGAGACTGCTATCGGCATACTATTATGACCGTAAATTACATCATTAGTGTTTACGCAATGTCGTACAAGTACGTCAGTTATCCAGCATTTACCACATGCACTCCCGTCACGAAGTCACACTGGGCCAGCGTTGAAATCAAATTTTGAAATCAGATTTTTTTTTCTGCCATCAGTGCACGTGATCTCAATATGTATTTCCTGTCTCTAACGGTAACTGATGTTTATCTGACCGGCTCACGCTATTTGCACCGTTCAATCGAAATGACAAAGGGGGACTGATAATAGAGAGAAATACCAGTAATCTGTGAACCAAACCTCTAGCTTTAGAGGTTACAAACTATTCTATAAGAAAAACCTTTTGTGAATTCATCTGCTGGTGCCCACGTCATAATACATTGAGATATAATGGTGTCATTAAGGCATGTTGTTATTCAATCGGTACTAAATAACGGTCTCTTCTGAGTAAAGTACGTTTATAGGAAGAGCTTATGTCAATAATAAACCTGTAAGTTACTTCAGTCAATCTGAGGGGGTAGGAAAGCGTATCTATTCTTTTCTTCACAAGCACAGGGAGAAATTGGAGTGGTTGATATAAGGTACGATGTGCAGGATTTGCCATACAAAAAGAATTTTCTAGGTAAAAAGGCCTTTTTTCCAACTTATTAATCATTCTTCGATCCGTCCTTGTGCTTGTTTTATTCCATATTTGATTTAATGGTTTTGAATTTAATGGCCAGTCATTTAGAACGCCACGTTTTCCTGTACATTTCGGAAGGTACTATGGACGCCACTTAAGTTTTTTGTTTATATATACAGAGTTTTAAAGGTCTGAATTTGGAAAGATTAGCAGCTTTGCAAGGTATGTAGACAGAAAATATGACTTGGGGGATTTTTCAAACGCCCACAGTATACCTTTAATAAAACGGGGAAAGGCCCATAAATAAATTAAAATACTTCCTTTATTATCTACCTTTCCAAACACTCCCTGTCTGTCTATGTAAGTCACTGTTGATTATAAATCAAGGTAGGGAAGTTTTGCCCACTCACCAAACAATATCAATAATTTCAATACCGGTTATTTCTTCTCCGATTTTCGAAATTGCCTTCATTTTCTTTAATAAGCTCCCTCAGGAAGCAATTAGTTAGAACATCCTGTCTTTGTATTGAACATCATTATACGTTAATAGGACATGATCAAATTTGATAGAACAGTTACAGCTGTGATGCGGAGTGGGACCTACTTGTATGATGAACTGTTTTCAATACTTGACTCATGAGTGAGAAAAATTCACAGAAAAATGCCATTAAGCAGGATAGAAAATAAAAAACGGGATATTTTATAATCGCCAATGTGGTCTTCCAAGTCTATGCAAATAGATTGAATATTATCGAATAAAAGATCTGTAATTTATTTGGTACGGGACTCGTTTAGGATACAGCATCACTTGAAGTGTGTCATGAGGCGTACAGGCTGACAGAAAGATTTCGCCGATCCAGTTTCCGTGAGCAGTTAAATAAATGAGTCTATCAATGATTCGAATATGTTAATTATAAAGAAAAGTAAGAGTTTGATTAATAGGATAGGGATCGTGCCCACGGGCGCGAGGTTAAACAAGACACACTGCTTTAATTAAGACCACCTAATTACTTGCTGATATGCCGGAGTTTCGTCTAGACCTAAGTCAATCTTTCTCTCAACTAGTGTCTGATTTCCGCTTATTATTCTGATATGGCCCTCCAATTACGTTGCTCAGATTGTTCATACTGGGGTCCTATTTTGTAAAATGTAATTTACTGCGTAGGCCGATATCCAAGCTATTGTGATAGCTACAAGACAGCCGATCCGTCAAAGTAATTAAGTATTTTTTTTTATTTTTGATGCTTTGTCGTCTTCCCACTAGTATATATTTCACGTAAGCAATAGCTTAAGATCAATAGTGCGGTTTTATATTCAAAGATCAAAATTGTTTTCACGCAGGATTTATCGATACTTGATTTCATTATATCGTTTTTTCTATGAATAAAAGATGGAAGAGTTAGGAATAGATTCCAATTTTTCCTGTTAAAGTATCGAAAATGTCAGGACTTATTAATTTTTCAGGGTATTTGTTTTCATCAGTCCTTCCCAACAATAAACCGTCTCTTCAGTTTGAAAACATGGTCTTCCTGTTACTATCCCGTTCAATTAGATTCATCTGTACTCAAAATCGGATCTATTGATCAAATTGGATTTGCACCCAACAATACGTTTAGATATATATGTGAAAACACTAGCCTCATAGAAAGGGAAGAAACACAATATGCGTAAACGGCTAGGNTTAGAACGCCACGTTTTCCTGTACATTTCAGAAGGTACTATGGACGCCACTTAAGTTTTTTGTTTATATATACAGAGTTTTAAAGGTCTGAATTTGGAAAGATTAGCAGCTTTGCAAGGTATGTAGACAGAAAATATGACTTGGGGGATTTTTCAATCGCCCACAGTATACCTTTAATAAAACGGGGAAAGGCCCATAAATAAATTAAAATACTTCCTTTATTATCTACCTTTCCAAACACTCCCTGTCTGTCTATGTAAGTCACTGTTGATTATAAATCAAGGTAGGGAAGTTTTGCCCACTCACCAAACAATATCAATAATTTCAATACCGGTTATTTCTTCTCCGATTTTCGAAATTGCCTTCATTTTCTTTAATAAGCTCCCTCAGGAAGCAATTAGTTAGAACATCCTGTCTTTGTATTGAACATCATTATACGTTAATAGGACATGATCAAATTTGATAGAACAGTTACAGCTGTGATGCGGAGTGGGACCTACATGTATGATGAACTGTTTTCAATACTTGACTCATGAGTGAGAAAAATTCACAGAAAAATGCCATTAAGCAGGATAGAAAATAAAAAACGGGATATTTTATAATCGCCAATGTGGTCTTCCAAGTCTATGCAAATAGATTGAATATTATCGAATAAAAGATCTGTACGGGACTCGTTTAGGATACAGCATCACTTGAAGTGTGTCATGAGGCGTACAGGCTGACAGAAAGATTTCGCCGATCCAGTTTCCGTAAGCAGTTAAATAAATGAGTCTATCAATGATTCGAATATGTTAATTATAAAGAAAAGTAAGAGTTTGATTAATAGGATAGGGATCGTGCCCACGGGCGCGAGGTTAAACAAGACACACTGCTTTAATTAAGACCACCTAATTACTTGCTGATATGCCGGAGTTTCGTCTAGACCTAAGTCAATCTTTCTCTCAACTAGTGTCTGATTTCCGCTTATTATTCTGATATGGCCCTCCAATTACGTTGCTCAGATTGTTCATACTGGGGTCCTATTTTGTAAAATGTAATTTACTGCGTAGGCCGATATCCAAGCTATTGTGATAGCTACAAGACAGCCGATCCGTCAAAGTAATTAAGTATTTTTTTATTTTTGATGCTTTGTCGTCTTCCCACTAGTATATATTTCACGTAAGCAATAGCTTAAGATCAATAGTGCGGTTTTATATTCAAAGATCAAAATTGTTTTCACGCAGGATTTATCGATACTTGATTTCATTATATCGTTTTTTCTATGAATAAAAGATGGAAGAGTTAGGAATAGATTCCAATTTTTCCTGTTAAAGTATCGAAAATGTCAGGACTTATTAATTTTTCAGAGTATTTGTTTTCATCAGTCCTTCCCAACAATAAACCGTCTCTTCAGTTTGAAAACATGGTCTTCCTGTTACTATCCCGTTCAATTAGATTCATCTGTACTCAAAATCGGATCTATTGATCAAATTGGATTTGCACCCAACAATACGTTTAGATATATATGTGAAAACACTAGCCTCATAGAAAGGGAAGAAACACAATATGCGTAAACGGCTAGGTTCGATTTTGGTAGGTTCGGCGGTGCGAAAATAAAAAAGAATTAAAAATAGCTTATATTTGATAAAGCAGGTGTGATATTATAATGCTACAGCCGTGTCAACCGTTTCAAATAGTTCAGCAGAACAGACTGATACAAATAAAGGAGTAAGAGACAGAGGGCTGGGGACGGTAGATAAAGACGCCCTACATTGTTGAATTGACGACTTCTTAGAACAAGACCCCTTTTTTCACGAGGGCAGTAAATTGAATACGGATTTTATCTCATCCGTTTATAGTTTTCATTCCCAACAAAAACTCCTAAAGGACTTCATAAAAATTGGACAGTAATACAATGATAGCACATAGCCCGCGCTGCCGTGGGAATTCTGATGCCACTAGGAACCCAACCATGCAGTGCTGCATGTATTAAATTCATGGATCTAAAAGGCAGCAAGGGCTTTAATAGCCTATTATTTCACCAAATGACACCATGATATGTCAGGGGATTCGATATCTGACTCCTTGTGGTCATAAATGTGTCGTCTGCATACGGACTGGCGATAAATCAAAACGGTTATTTGTGTGGAACGCTCGTTTATGCCATACTTTGGATGCTTCCAATAGTAAGATTTCATTAGAAGATTTCAGTCCTCTCGAGGAAGACAAAAAACATACACGATCATTTGAAATATTGTCAGTTTCTGCTTTTACCTTCAAGAACTAGAGGACAATCGTAACTGAGAAAAGCTAATTTAGAGATGGTATGTTTTCCTATTCTTCAAACAGACATTAGCTTCTAGCTGCAAACGGTTTCCGTTCACAGTAGGAAATGGACGAGATAACGCATTCTTGCCATTTTTTCTTCTACATAAATCATGGGTCTATTGACAGAACTCTTTGGAATGAGTTCAATCCGTATAACTCCATCAGGCTTTAGCCTCGGCAAAGGTACCATGAAACCTATGACATATGTACCTTCAATATGATGTTTTTACTCTTCAGAAGTATAAAAACCATTAAATGCTCTCTACAAAAAGTATAAATTTTCAGTAACGCAATACCCGTTTTTAAATGTGCCCTGTTATTTGGAACATTCCCAACAGTTCATTAAATTAATGATTTATAATATAACACTATTACACTTTATAACCTCAAATCTTCAGAAAAAAATATCTGTTGGTACGGCGAATTTTAGCTAAGAATTAGTTATCAATTTTGCTTTTAACCGCTGCAGAGCTATTTTCTTTTGTTGTTGTTATTATTATTATTTTTTTTTTTTATTTTTTTATTTTTTTTGTATTTAAAAAAAATTCTTTCTATTTTTTTCGTTTTATTCAACATAGGGCAATATTTATTTTATGTCCATCAAGATATAGAAGCAGAATATGTTATTGGAACCCTGTAAAATAAGTACTGCGCAAAACTACTGGCACTAGTGACGATCATACATTATGTTGTAATACCTCAGTAGCACAGATTGGACACGCTCGCAGCCCCCATACAGAGACTATATATACGTACGTCTAGTGGTGTACCTAAAATCAAAATGATCCCATGATCTCACCTTCAAAAGATTAGCTAGAAGAATGACTGTGGCCTCAACTGCGGACTAGCAGACTGTGGGTTGGGGGGGGGGGGGGGGTGGGGGGGGGGCTCAAGCAAGGCTTCAATCATACTGGCAAAATGCAAAACATTTGTTTGCCTTTTCATATTAAAAGAGAACGGTTCGACCTTTATTTTACATTCGTTATCACACATTTACTTGTCAGCCAATGTCACTGTATAGAGTATCACCAGGTTCAAAAGATAATAAGACTGAATATGGATGGCAAAAGCTTCTCTTGTAATTATGGAAGTTGTGTGACTGACGGCACACGTTTGGACGTCCGCCATAGATAAGTGCACGAACGGGTTTTCTGAGATTTATTGCATTTATCTTTCCTTAATATCATGATATTTATTAGATACGGTACTAATGTACAATGCAATTAATGTAGGAAGCAGTCACCCTTTAGTCAGTCTTGACCTGGTCACTATAGGTCAGCTGGCGCAGGAAAGTAGTACCATTCGTCGCACAATACGTTTTATAGAGCAATGAAAACGATCTGCAACCGTATGTCATTGCCATACAGCTTTACTGGTCTAAAATATCTATTAAATTCACTATAAAAAACACTAAAGATTTGTAGAAAAAGGAAATACTAAGCTTATCAGAGCTTCTCTATAGAAAATTATTTCCATGATGCTCAATGACAAAGCATCATAAATCAGTTACATATTTTTTATATACAGGGCCGGTATATTACTATACTGGACCAAAACCCGTGCCTAGTGAATAAATAAAATAACCTAAGTTAACACTAGGCTAAACAGTGCTTCTCTATAGAGGATGATTTCCATGATATTCAATAACGATAAATTAGTAACATTTTCCAGAAATTATCATTATATATATATTTTACTGCACTGGACCAAAACTCGCGCGTGAGCGAATGAAGAAAATAAAATATACGAACCAGTATAAGGGGTTAAAAATCCATATTGATCGCTGTCCAAATCTTTGCCCACCCCTCCCTACCCCTTCAACACCATGCACCAACAAAATAACTACGATAAAATACCCGAAAATAACAGATTACTCACATAACATGCAATTTATTACACAGGCTCTTTCTTTCAATTTAAGTTTTGTAAATGACCGAAATGACAGCTCATTGACTACTTATACACGGGTACCAACCACAGTTCAGTTCATACGTACAGTAAGGCGTATACAGCTGACACCACGCACACAGTGGCGATTCCCGTGGCCAGTAACATGCCTATTGCCACCCCGGCAATCTGCTTGGTAGACCAAACATCCGACGTGGGCTCGTCGTACTCCAGTCGTCTCGTCAGCAGCGGGGACTGGCCCATGTTACTCCAACGCTCAAGGTCCTGCGTTCGCGAAGGATTCACCCCACTCCCGGGAACGCCGCTTTCGTTTTTCAGATTCATTGCTGGTTTATGCGAGGCACGCAGAGCGCATACTTAGAGTTGTGTGTGGCATTAATGGTTTTCGCTAAAGAGAGTGACATTGCTGTGTGTCAGCCACTGGCAGTCTCTTTGACGTCATTTTATTAAAACTGAGAAATAAACGGAAACCAAGCACTATGGAATATTGCCGTGGGCTCAGTAAACTATTTCATATATTTCATCATTCCCGTTGCTTACATTCCATTTTGATTTCCTTCCACACACACAGGAGGAGAAGTACATACAAGAATCACGTTTTCACATCTACCATTCCATTTTGGTGTTTTTCTTATCTTCATCCCCGCAGTAGCCCGGGGTCGCGACCGGATGGATCTGACGAGCAGTAGTAATTTGGCAATCAATTTAATTCCATAGCAGCTAACCCATTGGCACGTCCATTGGCTCCTGCCTGGTTCGAACCCTGATGCAATTTATCTCGACATCAGAAAGAGATATATTGAGCCCTGAATCTTCTACAGATGCCTTGATGATGAAAACGTGTTTGGTTAGAGCAATTTACGGTAAAAGATTGGGGCCACTTCCAAGAAAATGCCGAGGCAAAATAAAATATTGAGAAAGCAAGCATTTTTGAACAGGAAGCAATGGTTTTATCTACTACAATTAGAAGTTTAATGTAGTTTCCGATTGTTTGGAATGGTCACGAAGCAAGATGTACGTGACAGACGTCTTGGTACAATATGGGACCTCGGACCATGATATGGACCCTTGGACCCGAGACTTACAAAATAAATTAGGCTTCCTTTATGCGAATTGACCGCACTTAATTTCCTAATCTAGATCTACCAAAACCAATCTGTCAGTTTCATCAAAGACATGTTGTGAGCCACGCTGCGTTCATCCATCGCGTCGAGTGCAGCATTTGGTTGGTGAGAGTGGAAAAAATGCCATTGTGTTAGTTGAGACAGACATATCAAAATTTCTCATCAGCGCTGAACAGTTTCATATTCATTGTAAGGATTACTTCCTCTGAAANCAAAACCAATCTGTCAGTTTCATCAAAGACATGTTGTGAGCCACGCTGCGTTCATCCATCGCGTCGAGTGCAGCATTTGGTCGGTGAGAGTGGAAAAAATGCCATTGTGTTAGTTGAGACAGACATATCAAAATTTCTCATCAGCGCTGAACAGTTTCATATTCATGTTAAGGATTACTTCCTCTGAAAGTCTCCTAACAAATTCTAGAAAAAGGTTTCTAACTTGATAAGGTTTGTCATTAAAAATATACCAATGGTAAACAGTTGAATATGCAATGCATGAAAAATGTCCAAGATGAAAGACCTAGTAATTATTCCATTGCATTTTATTTTCTATCCCAAACATAAAACATTTTCAAAAATAAACCTTAGCCGCACTTCTCCCTCAAATGAGAATCCTTGAGATCTTCCCACAAAAATAACATGTCGTCTGCTTCGAGTCTATTCCCAGCAATAACTTTACCGTGGGCAACCTCGCATGATGAAGGTTGCCTTGAGCCCCAATTTCCAAATTCCTCAAACTGTTTAATTTCCGCTCCAACTACCTCTCTGAGAACGCCAGTAACGTAAGCATCTTCTAAAACAATCATCGGGAAATATTCCGACGCCTCGTAAACCCGTTTTGCCAGATCGAGCGACATGGCGTACGCTGGCCCGCCAAGAAAAGGGGGAAAGGTCTCAAAAGGAAAGACGCTGTAAGGCACCGCCCACTGCCCGTTGCGTTGGACAGAAAACTTGGCATGGCGCGCTCCGTACATTGTATTAGAGTGACTGAGAATATCAAGTACTTTGGGGATATCAATAAACACGTCTTCTTCCACTTTAAGTACGTATTTTGCTTGAGGACAGAAAGCTGCTGCCCACTTAAATGCGCCGATTGTTTTTATAGACGCATTGAAAGGACTTTCTGTGTAATCCTCTAAAATGATGTCGCTATGAATTTGACTTTCGTGTGCGATTTTTTTGTTCCACGATGAGACTATATGGGTACCGACGAAGAACAGTATTTTGACTGCTTGCTTTAGAGGTCTTCCGTCCACCCATGATTGAGTCTGGGACACGCTTCCCCACGTCTCTCTTACTGCTAATCTCGAATACTCCCTGTCGTGATAAGAACATATCAACACCAACAGGTACGGTGGCTCTGACAGCTTTTCACAAAACTTTTCTTCTTTGATGATGTAGTGAAAATCGTGCGGATTAACTTTCTCCTTCCGACGCTGATAATATGCCGCACGTGACAAATTATCATACCCATCTTTTGGGGTTTTTTGGGGCACAGATTTTTCTGAATTCGCATCATCAGAGTTAATCGTGGCCCTAACTACGGGTATTTTGCCCAGTTTTTTTGCTCTCATCTTCGTTCCTGCTGCCTCTGTGGGCAGATCGTTCTTCTCGCTGTCTACAGTCAAACCATATTTGGGCAAAATCGTCTTGGCACCCTGTGTCGCATGTTCTTGGTGTATGTTGTCTTGTTCGACATTCATGAACACTACTATCCTTTCACTCCAAAACAACAATGCTAGTATCCCAGCCACACACGTCAGCCGCATCAGTGACACGCCACAAAGTTCTGGTCCTCGAGCCATGGGGGGTCTATCCGAGGCGAAACAAGTAAACAGCGAGCTGGGAAGGCTTGCATTTATCTACAACACAGTCCCGTTCACGCCCTTCTTTTAGGGATGACCAATGTATCAGTCCCCACTCCGGCGCAGGGTCCGCTAACTAGCAGTCTGTTACAAACTAATTGTATTTTGTTTACTACACATGTATTTTAGAGGCCCTGGCATCAGAGGAAATCATCAGACCAGTTACATATAGCAACCAACCAATCTTCTTCCACAGCCACAAACTAAATCGTGTCCGTACTCCTTGTCCCAGAACATAAACCCCAAACTTGTCTTTCCTCTCAACAGTGGCTTTTGAAAAATATTCTATGTACACTGCAGAATTCGACTCAAGCCACTTAGCGCAACTTTGTGTTTTTTCATGTGCTCCTTTCCCCAGTATTCACTGTACCACTGTACGGAAGGGGGGGTGTAGACTCACGAGGTACACGATGTACTTGTAGACAAGAATACTCTCTAACCTGACAGAATTTGTAGCGTTACCACTCAAACATCGTATCGATTGTCAGAGGAAAATACGATTATCAAGACAATAATTTCACCTGCCTTTTATCAATTTATTGAAAAACGTGATCGATCTTGACACAAACTAGGTCACATAACTAATCAATAATTGACAACATTTTGAGCATGCTCATTTCAATGCTGAAAAGAAAAAGAAAGAAAATCCCAAAATCTATATATCCCATTTTCTACCGTACTGACTGTGTCAATACCCATGTGTACATATACTAAAAGAAACCCTCCTTAAATGGTCACATTCTAAAATACAAACGAGCCTACTATTACTTTTCCAGTCAACATGACTTTGAACTTTTGAATGGAGTATGTTGGAGATCTGTAATTATGCCTTGGTTATGAATAAATTGCCTTTTATTAGCTATCCTAATAAAAGTATGTTCGAAGGGAAAAATCTCAATATCTGTAATGAAAGAGATCAACCAGTACCTCGAGAATCTTATTATTCTCTTTTAAGTTCTCTTCATCAAAATAAATCTCGTCAGGCAGCAGTTTGTCCCACTAGGCACTAGCTTAATTAGGTTACTGCCCACTTTACACCTAAAAAGGCATCGGTCTAGAAAAAAATGTTACTTTATACAATACTAGCCCACTTTTATAGTCTGATTAGTCAAAGGGCTAGTAGCCTATATAGTTATTGACACATACCGTAACAGAATATTGTGATCCAATGTATGACCGTAATTTATATAACTAGAAAAGCACTCCGAGAGCGCAGACTTCCGCCAAGGCATCAACCCTAAATATTCGATATTTTTTTATTATTGATTGATTATTGATCCGAATCAGCACCAAAAACTAATCATCTCTTCCTTGGCCCACTTCTGACAGTTCCTGAAAATTTCATCAAAATCGATCCATAACTTTTTGAATTATGTTGATGACAGACAAACAGACTAACAGGGGTGAAAACATAATCTCCTTGGTAGAGGTAATTACACATAGGGGCATTATGGATACAGCAAAAAAAGTGATAAATAAAATGTCTCTTGGAGAACTATCAAATCCAATCTTGGATAAAATTTGTGAAATGTGATTACTTGTGTGTTTATTTTTACCTGCTTATCTGAACATATGCCATATAAATTAATATAACAGATCTTTGGCCTTCAGATATTTTAATATTTAACAATTTAACAGTTTAAGGCTTCGTTCACATGCAATGTCTATTTTCTAAATTCTATTTTCTATTCGCGCTATCTTATGATCACGGTCTGTGCACTGAATATCCCGCCGCGTAATTACTGGCACCGCGAGCCAGTTACTTATAGTAACTTATAGTAACTGGCTCGCGCTGCCAGTAATTACACCGCAGGATATTCAGTGCACAGACCGTGATCATAAGACATACCGAAAATAGAAAATAGAATTTAGAAAATAGACATTGCATGTGAACGAAGCCTAACAGTCTTTCATTTTCAGGTTTAATTATGCAAGTACCATGTAAGAAAAAAAGTAATATGACAATGGCAGAAGTTATATTCTTCAATAAAGATGTAAAAGAATCAGTAAAGTTATTTGTTACTAGATACAAGTATACCATGCCAGCAATATGAGTTCAGTATTATTGCACCATTTGCTCAAGATTGAAACCTAGATGTATTTACCACTTATTTCACCTCATTAGTTACTTTTCCACTATACATGAGGATGTAAATCTGAAAGATGGCTAAGAAAAACAAGTTGCAAGTTATCTGTTCACCAAGGTGCAAAAACAAGCTTCGCGTGCAAGAAATATTAGCATCATACATGTGAGTTTACTCGACCTTTATGCTATTCAAAAATTTTCACTGTAAACAAGTTGACGGTCTACAGTATAAATTAGTCGTTCATGTTCTACATTGGACCTTCTTAGACCCCATTATTGTGTATTATTAGTATCCTGGTGTAAACTTCTTTACAGAAGTATTAAAGTTCATTAAAAAAAACATTTTACCTATGATCTGAATCCTTTTGATTCTAATCAGGGTGTAGGTCTTTTTATAATTATATAAAATAACATACAAAATTAATTAATTGCCACATTTTTTTAAAATATGGACACACAATACAGTAATGAGCCTGAAATTAATCAAACCATGAGATAAGAAAATAGGCCATTTCTGTTGTATGTTTTGTTTAAGTAAAGCAATCAACTCCATATTTCAAATGTAATGCGGCAGCAAATTCTAGTTCTTTTGTTCATTAACTTACAACATATATTTAATAAAGATTTTGTTATTTGGTCAACAACAGTCAAAATCCTCCTTCCATCTACATGCATAGCCAATGGTCAAACAGAAAAATTTGTTCATTAACTCTTCATGATCTCATCTATCCAAGTGTGTCTGATATCTTAAATGTCCTAAAGCAGGGGCGGATCCAGGGGCGGATCCAGAATTATCTTTATTGATCCAACCTCCATTTTTGACCGTCTTCCAACAGAAAAAAAGATACCAGTCATGGTCGTCAATGTAAACTTGAAAATCTGACCGTCTTCCAGAAGACGGCCTAAATCTGCCCCTGCTAAAGTAACATTATCACCCACTTTCACAATTTGTTAAATTTAAATAGTCTTCTTAGCTTTATCTTTATAACATGTTAAGTGTGGAAATACACTATTCCCAACTGATACTCTATACACATACATAACTGAGCATGTTCTAAAGCAACTGCTATGTGTCCACTAATACATGTCCATTGCTAACTGGTGAATTCACAGCTTTTGAGACTCCTAATCCCCGCTCTCCACACAGTGTCTCTCTCAGACCTAGGTATATATACACTGGCCACAGCAATGTCACTGACAGCTTCGGTTCAGACTTGGTGCAAGTCAAGATCACAAAAAATATCTGCAAGTAGGGAATGAGGCATGCTGCAATCCAAACAGCCATAGGGACATCCGTCAAATGAGTCCACATTGAACTGTGCCCCATTCTAGAGTCAGATTCCTTTCTATCAAGCCCTGTCCTCTCTTTTGATTTAACACTTTTGTCCACCTCAACTTCGTGATAGTCTTGCACATGTTTGAGAGCCAGGCTGTTGAACTGTTCACTGATTTCAAAGATGTAATACACTGCGACTAAAGTTGCCATGAGGTACAACAGCAGTAGAAGCCAAGCAATTCTCTGTCTAAATTTCATTATCCATGTGATGAAATGGAATGTCTATGACGAATACCTAGAAAGTAAAAAAAGAAAAATTAATTTTTTAATTAAAATTTTGGGTAATTCTATATCACAGTCTGATGGTAGTGCATGTATTTGTGGTTCTTATACATTCTGAGCACTGTGAAGAGGTACTTGTACTTGTAAAAGGGGGCATCTCAGCGTACAAAGGTTCATTGGTCTGAAAAATCATAGCATTTTCATCAGGTTTTTAATCAAGGGTTCTTGGGTCTGAAGGTTCTAATAGTGAACATTCAGACCAATGAACCTTCGGACTATTGCTATGGCCCCATTGTACATGTACACATACTGGTAGCTCATAAATACTGTTAAACAGAATTACTCAAGGGAGGTTTTCTGTAAAAATGGATTGGAATCTCTACTAGGCAATTTGAACCTGGACTATGACTTATATTTCATATCAATATTTCAACACCGGGGTTTGGCATAAAATGAGGGTTATTAATAATAACATGCTGACAATTCCCTGAACTGGAGATACTGTAAGCAATATGTTTGTTAAAATCATTTAAAAAATGTAGTTCATTTGGGCAAAATTACAATTAGACATCCCATTACTACTCCCCCACACACACCTCAGATACAAAATCTGGTCTACCTGTGAACTTCAAGTATACTAGCACCTACATGTACATATACACTTCCTCAGTCGCTGGATGCTTAGTACACTGTCACCATGCTGAACGGATCGCTTTGACTTTTCATACAGGTACGATACGTCAGGTCTGGTAAAGAATAGTAATATCACGTCCTTTCATCAATCGCTGTACCTCATGCTTTTTTTACATCAAAGTATCAGTTGAACTTGTATATTTTTCATATGGAAATCACACAAATTCTAAGATATTGTTATACCCGCATGAAGCTGCTTCTTACTTCAGTTGTGAATAAGGAGTAAGACGCAAGTAAATTTTTGTGAACACTGTTTTCAGTATGGAGGATTAAAGCTAATATGTTGGCTCGTTAAATTAAATGCAAAGTCGCTTTTTATTATTCCATATCTCTACGATAAAATATACCCCAAAACTCAGTTTTAATTCAATGTCATATTTGACGAATTTACAGCTTACAATGAAAAGAGATGTTTACCTCCTACCGACAGCTGTGCTCTCTCAGACCTCGTGACCCTGTGAAGGTCCCTGAATGACCTTGACCTAAATAAAGATTGATAAAGAAGTGGAATCATTGAAACATCGGAGCTGACCTCACGCCCGTATTTCTATGTACTGTTGACTTCACAGACCAAATCAAAAAATATTTTAAACAGTTTCAGTACACTAAAACAGTTTTGGACAACATGAAGCGGATAGGATACTGGGTTACGGACAAAAAGTTTAAAAAGATGAGATTTGCAAGTTTTCATGATATTTGCAGGTAAGGTCTACTAAGGACATTGGCGAATGCCAAGTTAAAGTAAACGAAAATCCTTTACATAGTTGTGATTGAGACGTTATAGAATCGCTGATCCGTTTCAACATTTTACCAGGTAAAGTGTAAGGTGCCCCAGGTAAGCAGGTCAGTTTACATCTAGTATCGTGAGATATGTATAACTGCCATCTTAAATCTGAGCAGTAAAATCTGAGCAGTAACGTGTAGCAGTGAACAAAAATGTAGTCTCGCTGTGCTGTGTACAGTGTACGAGTAGTCTGTCAGGAACTGCCTGAGACAAGAGGTGTTGTCACATAAAGGGTTGTGAGCATGGAATATATACTACATTGATTTCACCTTGACATTAAAACAAAACACTCCAAACATCAAAGTAACAGAGATCTAGGGCCATTTTACAGGGGATGATATGCTTTTCTGTTTTGTACCATTTTAATATGTTTAAACCTATGTCTTCAAGCTACCGTGTATGATGGGTTTTATCTTTTTGGTCCTTGGAAACAGAATTGATCTGATAAACCATGCATTTGCTACATGGTCAGCTAGGCTGTTAAGTTACCAGTACATCTCCAAGTGTACTACATACTGTGAAAGGGGCTGATCAAACAAGTAAATGGAGGTAAAAGGGATAAAACTGAAGACATTGACAAATGTATGGCAGATGACAATATGTCAAACAACACTTGCCAGATGAAACATTTATTTTACGTAAATGACAGGTTCAAGGCATCTTGCGGTGTGGTATTTTTCTAGTGTGGTAAAATAAACTTCTCTACATATATTAATGTGCATTAATCAGTGATAACATTATAAAGTTATCTTCTTTGAAGCCCATTTTAGTGTAAAATAATTGTAGCAATTTATATGTCTCTCTTTGCACTCTCTAAATTATACAGCATTCAACAGTTTTCCTAATTTGTTTCTTCTTGTCTATGTTGAGCCTTTCCCTGCCCTTAAGAAATGGTGATATATTAATTTCAACATCCTTATTATCAGTAGATCTTCAGTAGTAAAACCACAGTCAGGTAGCACATGTTTTATGTCAGTATTTGTACTAGTACTGTATATCATACATTCACCCCACCATCAAACATACTAGAATACTCTATGTTATAGCACCATATGATCTGTTTATTTTAACTCATACTAGTAAATGATTTTATGTGTGTTTTCCATTTCAGGGATGCAGGCTATGAAGCTGTCAGGGTAAGCTCAATCAGACTAAAGTAATTTTTTCTTCAATCAGCAGATAATATTGAAATTGTTTACCTCCAGTATTTCGATGTCTATCAGAGCAACCTTATCCGGAAAACTATTTCAATATTTAACTGTGGATTGAAGAAAAATTGCTTTATTCTAATAACATAACACTGCTGATGATTTCTTCTCTGAAGGTCAATCAGACTGTTGATAATTTGATACAGGAGTTTTTAAAATGTATGTCACTTATGTATCTTGACTAGTACAATAAAGAGACATGCAGTATGACAATCAAGGAGTGTCTTAAGCTGGTCTTGAGTAGATCTTGCTTGACTGCTTATATAAACAGATGTCATCAAAGATTATTTTATTTTTGTCACACAATCAAGACCAGGAAACAATTTATGGAATTTAGATTGCTTTTATGGAACTGTCTTCCAGCACCACCCTGAGCTTCAGAGCTAACTTGACACTAACCTTTTCACTGTAGCCTATCTCCATCGTGTCAAGTAACCTCTGACCAGATTCGAGTGCCCCCGCCGCCCGCCAATCAAATTTAAAGCCCGCACTCAATGACTCATTAAACGATCTAGCCAATGAACGCGAACGAGTCAAAGCGCGCTTTGTTCAAATCCGGACCAATCAAAGATAAGGCTGAATATCAGGGACTTGCCGTAACCTGTGGGCAGCACGCAAAATACATCATCCCTCAGTAGATAATGATGCAGGGCATCATACTGCTCTGGTTTCAATTCCGATATACTCCATGCTTTCTTTGTGTACGGTTATGCACTCGGAACTACTCGGATGTTTCCGCACTCGACAATAACTATGTTGTTAGTATGGAGCTTGCGGAATCAGCCGAGGATTGCCGATTGACGGTCAACCAATCAGCGTTTTCACCAAACTTTGGTGAAAAATTTTGAAACATGGATTCGATTGGCTTATATAAACTAGGTCAAACTATTTTCGTCAGAGGTTACTTGACACGATGGAGATAGGCTACAGTGAAAAGGTTAGTGTCAAGTTAGCTCTGAAGCTCAGGGTGTCCAGCACATACGTGATCTCATATACAAGTTTCATAAAGAAATTCAATGATTTTTATTTTATTTTTCTGCATGAGACTTAAACAAGGTCACCCCTGCACCCCATATAATCTATGCTAAATAACACCTAACCACAGTGTTATTTATTGATTTATTGCTCTGCATTGTTAGTTCATATCTAGGGTAGTTTTATGTTTTAATTTAAACATGCCCTGAGCTTTTATTCCCATGCATTCCACTTTCTACATTTTCATATGAGCAGCCATTTGTTGAAATATAGATCTATCTATATGATTTTAAAAACTGGCCTGCATTGTGGTTGAAACTTGGGTTATTGGCTAGTAAGATGAACAAGTCTACAGAAATAAATTTAAAATATTTTGATTTATAGGAGATCTGAAATCAGCTTACTAGCACTCATTACAAAATCTTTCCAAACGACATTGAAATTCCAATGTCTGTATGTACAAGTAAAAAAAATATATGATAAGAACTGATTACAACTACTCATTATGCTATTTGGGTTATTGTCAATAAAATAAATTGTTGAACATTAATTAGTAAATGTATTTCTTGCCATTGATGGGAGTTTAAATTGGATCTGTAGAATTATCCTGAAAATATTCATGAAAATTAAATGCTTACTCTTAAAGATCTCATCTTCATAGATATTTTTCAGTATAAAAGTAAACATGATCAGGAGTGTTTTTCATCTGCAGATAAAAGAGCCAGAAGATTTGGAAAAACAGGGTCCATTTGATGTATTTATTCACAAACTCTCTGATGACATAGGGTCAGCATTAGATGGGGATGAGGAGGCCAAAGAATTAGTCCAAAAGTTTCAGGTATTTACAGTTATTTACATACTCAGTACATTCATTTTTTTGAAAACAAACACATTATTGAATGCTATCTGTAATTCACTAATAAACTTACTAGTACTTGGGCTTTGTTTGTAGATATACTAATCTGAATTCAGGATAAGTCTATTGTTTCATGTGTTAATATCAAGAATGTATTATCAGTACATTGAAAGTATTGGTAATACATGTGTGTTCTTTTTAATGCAAATAGAGGATTATGTTAATTCTTCCTAGTCTATTTAATTAATGTTTGTATTGAGTTACATGTAAATGAGGTTCCCATATAAATCTGTCCACAAATATTAACATATTTGTACAAACAAAGAAGTAAGGTTTATGATATGATTTGGCCTTTATTTTAATTAGCTTAACATAATCTCATTATCTCCACCATTTTATTATGCTTTGAGGGACAGCACACACTAGTGAGGCTACGACTACGCATGTCCAATTGCCTTATGATTATGACTCATGTTAACATTTACATTTATGTGCTGATATTGGTGAATTTTTCACATTTTTCTGGGCAATAAAACCAAGGACAAGCCTGTACTATATAATTATACTATATTAGCTAAGGACCTTTGCAGTTGGCCATCCATCTTGCTAGATATACTTGTACTTAGAAAGATGAAAATCTTGGTATTTTGCACAGGCTGCATATTTCCTTAATAAAGTTATGCACTGCATTTTGTACTGGGTGCACTGGTATTGCTGTGTATACTTACTAGTGTAGAGTAAAAGTTCAAATGTTAACACTAAAGGCAGTGCTGTATATACCATGTGGTTCTTATCAGACAGAAGTCTCACAGGTGTACTTTCCAAAATCAATCATTTAAAGCAACTAATGCCTTTTATTAGAAAGTTCTGAATCCAAGGTTGGGTTATGCATCAGAAACTTTTTCTTTTTTGACCCATCAAAGATGTTTTGAATAATGCAATGAGCAGTCTTTGACATTAGTAAGTAACAACAGGAGTAATATGGCAAACATTATAGCCAAGAAGTTTGTGGTAATCATTAAGGTGTTTTGTGATAAGGTTTTTAAATGTTAAAGCATTGTGGTAAACGTGGTCAAGAAATGTGGATTGATGGATATAAATCTCCATTGCTAAGTAACCTATTAATGCCCTTTTCACATATCAATTTGCATTCTTCTGAATTTATTCAAATGTATGTCCCCCCTTCAACCCCCCCCCCCAAAAAAAAATAAATAAATAAAAGAAGCACCTGCAAAAAAAAAGAATTTACATCAGTTAAATTATTTTTCAGAAATTCTACTTTAATTACACCTTGATTTAATCAAAATATTATTGTATTACATTATTTTATTTCAGTCCCATNTCTGGTTAAAAAGATGCTTGATGTAAAAAGGCATTTATTTACAACAGCATCCCCCCCCCCCAAAAAAAAATAAATAAATAAAAGAAGCACCTGCAAAAAAAAAGAATTTACATCAGTTAAATTATTTTTCAGAAATTCTACTTTAATTACACCTTGATTTAATCAAAATATTATTGTATTACATTATTTTATTTCAGTCCCATTTCCAGAGATGCCCCTCTTTACTGGTAATAGATCCCTTTGATAAGGTTGCCAGAATGATAGACAGACGGGAACAATACCAGGCTGCCAGAGACTGCTTTCAGAAACTTCAAGGTACTTACTTCCCTTAAACCCCCTTTACACTGGACAGCATCCTTTCTGAATCCTTTGTGAGACCACGAAACTGGCATAGCTGTGGTCATAGAAAAAAGGCAGACACATCTCTTTGGTTGCAGAATGAATGCTCAGTGACCAGCCAGTTGTTGGCAAGTAAAGTATGGAAATGGAACTGTACTACGGGATACAGAAAGGATGCCGTCCAGTGTAAAGGGTACTTAAGTCTTTGAACATAATGGTAACTCTGGTTGTGTTTCCAGTTTTGTTGGGTAGATGTTTCTTAAGCTTCCTGGCACCCATCTCAGTTGGTCATGGGATTTTGCATGAACACGTTGAAGCAAATTCTCTTGCAGTTCCAACCATACCCTCTCTCTCTCTCTCTCTCTCTCGCTCTCTCTCTGTCTGTCTGTGAATTTTACTTTTTTATCCAACAAAGCTTTGAAATTTTAATGTTTTAAGTTACAAACTGAAATATTTTATTAAATTTTTTATTATTTTCAGATGATCAGTATTTTATACCAAATTTTGTTGAACTCACAAACACAGATGTGTCAAGTAACAAGAAGCTAATTGAGCAAGCAGGAATAACATTCCCTTTTAGTGAGTATTTTGATACATACACTGTTTTACACTGTTGTATGTGCAAGACAATGGCATATCCTTCACCCACTTATTTCAGTGTAGCCTTTGTTTATATTGGTTTATAATCCAAAACAGATGTAAATTGCTTTTTGCATAGACTGTGTGTAATTAAAAATCAAAGCAATTTAATTATTTTCATTACAAGTTTTTAGTTATATCCAGTGAACCTGTAGCTTATCATTTGAACCTTTTCTAAATGGTCACTGTTTTCAAAACTAAATAGGAGCAATATCTTAACATTTCTCCATAGATCATTATACATCAGCCACATAATTTAACTGCTTGTAAGAATTTTAGGAAAGTGCTTCCAGAAGTGAGGAATGTCTGGATTTTCCTCTGCTGATCATATCTCAAATTATCAAATATGTTTGTTGCTTATATAATAGTTAAGGATTAGCAATAGTTATTCTCTTGTGCACTTGGATTTGTTTTCTATTTAAAGTTTATTCTGACTACAAGTTTTTAAAATTCTATTTCAGTATATAAACCTGCTGCAGCTCATGGTTCTGCAGAGTGTCATCATGTAAGTACAATGTGGGGGGATTGCTCTTCATTTAATGTCTGCCAGACAAAGTTTCTGCACTTCACTTGACTGCTTAACTCTTGTACATTGGGGGATGGAAACAGAATGTCTTTTTACTAGAGTTAGTCTGAATAGGATTTTAATGAAAAAAATTATAATGGGTACAGCTGAAGGGTTTGTCTGTTTAATTGATTAATAATTTGATTTTCTTACCTGTAACACTTATGCACTTGTGTACAATTATACACTTGTTGATTCATTAAGTTTTTAAGCTATAATTTTAATATTAATTGTAACATTATTGTCTGTAGCTTGCAGTTGTATTCAATGAAGATGGCCTACGTGACCTCCCGCCTCCATGTGTAGCCCAGAGTTTTACAAATCACGATGCTGTCTTGTATAAAGTGTATATAATAGGGGACCATATCCAAGTGGTGAAGCGTCCATCTCTTAAAAATTTTAAACAGGGAGGTATGTTCAAACCTCTTTATTGATTTCTTATGGGGTTTTGTTTACTGCATTACAAGCATGCTGTTTTTCTTGAATCAAAGTTTTCAGAGCCTAGAAATTGTTTTTCTATTGAATTGTTTTCTTAATTCAGGGGCCCCAGAACAAGGTGATTGATTACCTTCTTGAATTTATCAAGTTGCCTAAAGTGGCTAAAGCAGCCAGCCAGCTAAAGTTGTTTTGAAACCCTGAATAAAAATACTTAATTATAGGAAACACAATTTCTAGGTCCATGTACTTGAGGAATGGGATAGATCACTGTACTAGTGTCTTTTTATATGAAAAACACAGGATTGGAACTTATTTTCTAGAAAAAAAGTTGTTTCAGTTGAGTGTATGTGCACTGAATTGACATTTTACAATATTGCATGTTTATGTATTAAAGGGTTCACTGATTTTTCAAAATTCATAATGTAATCAAAGGCGTTTGTGTGTAATCTTAAAGCTTATAGATATACTGAAAGGATATACTCAAACATTCTGCATCTTTTGTGAGTCAAGAAACATTTGTATGAGAGAAGATATTTCTTCCAGGTAGCAAAGAATCTACTGTGTTTTTTGACAGTTATGGAGTGTCTAAGCCCAACTCAAACTCGCATTTAAACAAGGTAAGTGACTCAGATGGGCCTCTAATTATTTCAGTAATGGTTTGTGTAAAGGTGAAAATGATTCTTCGTATTCTGTCTTCTTTCCTAAAAATTTTGCAAACACAATAATCTGAAATTACTGGGAAATTAATTTTTGACTGAGAACCAAGCGATTAGCCAGCAAACCATCCAGTCATCATTTGTAAGGCTTTTTCAAACAGAAGATGGCCTAGTCTAGAGCTGAATGGTTGCTTAAATTCTTAGCACACCTCATATTTACATTAATGTGTGAATGTTTATAAAAGGGTATTGAAATAAATTTTTAAAAAAAATGAAATTTTGAAAATCCCCCACTTTTGTTTGCATTTAACATGTGTATCATTTGTAGGAGATGTATGTGCATCAGCCAAAGTCAATTGTTTTCTGTGTATTTTTAGTTGGATCTGAAGGAAGAAGAACCCAGTGATAAAACTGTGCTGCTGTCTCCAGATCTAGACAAGGTGCGCAAGATGGTGACTGCACTGCGCAGCTCTCTCAAACTAGAACTGTTAGGAATTGACCTGATCATAGAGAAAACAACTGGAAGATATGCAGTGATAGACATCAATTCATTTCCAGGTGCTCATTACATGATTCTCACTACATACTTCTGTCATTAATATTATTATTAAATTAATAGTACGGTACTGCAACAGTATGGCTTCTAAGAGACCTCCATGAGTATTATCATGAGAAATTTTACTCCTCCTCCCGACCCTGAAAATCTTGGATCTATCTCTACAATGTTTAAGAAGAGGCTCATTTCAGTCCATGCAGAACCTAGATCAATTCTAGATCAAATTCTGATTAATCGTGTAGGTTTTTTTTTTTACCAAAAAGGCTGTTTTTATTTCTAACTCCACCCCATAAATAATAAATTGTCCTTGTTTGTTGGAGAATTCAACTAATACTTTAGCTTCTGCTTAATCCTACATATTGCATTGAGATAAATTGATATCATGGTATCTTTTTGCAGGTTACGATGGAGTAGACAACTTCTTCGAAGTACTTTTAGACATGTTATCAAAGAGGCTACAGCCAAATGAACGAGAAGGTACCAGAAAAAGAAAGTCTTCTGAACCACTGGAAAAAGATCTGCACACCTGATTATGACAATTTCATTGAGTAGTAAGAGCTGCTGAACTGCAATGACATCCACAAAATCTTAAATTTTTATAGAGCCATATTTTTAATCTAAATTTACGACAGATAATTATCGATCCTCAGTGGTGTGTTCAGAGAAGGTGAAATGTGCAACATCAAAACACTTCAGAGGCCAACAGTTTTTGCCACCATATATATTATTTTTATTTTGAATACAATATACTGATGATAAAACTATTAGGTTCACATTGGTACTAGACTCAGTGACCCCACAAGGTCAGGGTCGGTCGGGAGAGGGATAGGACATACTGTAATCTCAGAACTATATATGTGAGTAAGTGAACAACATTTATTGGATCTTATAAGCAGCAAAGCTATCCATTAATATAAATACTTTCATAGAGAATAGAAATAAGTACTAAAAATTCATCACATTTCTCTTGTGAGGTAGTTATGCTTGTGCTCTTGTTTTGTCTTGGACTTTAAATTTGAATTGACTGAATTGTTTGCCCAGTGCCAAACCTGCAAATTTATCTTATATTTATTAGTGTTGTGTAAAGTGAGTCTTTATCCATAGATATTTATGTCCAGTGGCCAGTCAGGACCTTAAATTTCAAAGTCTAGTGGTGAATTACCTTATAATAGCAGCCAGCAAAACCTTTGCTTTCTTCATTGAACAGTAACGAAGAGTGGTAAAGGTGTACGTACCCTGTACCAGGGCCACAGAATGATTTTTCACTAGATATTTACAAATATGTCTCCAGCTAACTCTATACACTTTTCTCTGCTGCAAGAATTGATGTATGAAAATTCATGTCATTCCTCAGTAAAGAGTAGTATATGTAGGTCAGATTCTTTCAATAATCTGAAGCTAACATGTAGCAAGTATCTCTAATTACTCAAAATAATTTCAGACTCATGTTAATTTGAGTAATAGAATAAATATTTGCGTGTAGATATTCTTGAAAAGTACACCTTAAGTTGTAACCAAGGCACTCCACTAGTGACACATTTACTCTTCTTCATGCCAGCATTAACCAAATGTTTACTTAATGTCATCATTCACTATTTCTGATATTTATTGTGTGAGACCATTCTTGAAACTATTGTCATAAATTAATTGCTTAAATTTTGAACTGAAACATAGTCAAACTTTTTGTATTAAGTAAAAATGTAAACTTCTTTGTGTGAGGGTAATTGTTTTTCTACAAGGTATACAAATAAATTATTATTTTGTACAATAATTCAATAGTTCAGAAGTGGGTGAAATTAAAATTAATAAGATTTGGTGATGATCCATTAATTAATAACTTTGTTATATTCTTTATCTGTTAACTTCTGGATAGTTCAGAAATAGGCTAATTAAAATTGATTAGATTTTGGTGATGATCCATAAATTAATGAATGACTAATTAGGAATTAATTACTTGTCTTGGCAGAGGTCTGTGCCTCTGAGTGCTTGTTAAAGCAGTGTTTTTTAGAAAGCATATACAAATAAGTTAGAATATCAATATATATTATCACTAAAAATCTTTGTGGAATTTCTGTTTATGAAGCATGACAATTTTCTGTTTTATTTATTTATGTATTTTTTATTTTTGACAACTGCAAATTATACGCTGTGCAATTTTGGAATGTACATACCAGGGAAACAATTTTGGCTGATGTTAATTGTGAGTTTTTCATGTACAAGCCATTAAAGTGCCATTTTTTTTTTTTTTTCTTGGTCAAAAACGTTTTATACTTTTTTCTTTGTAATTGTATAAAGCTTGGTTGACACATAACTGGTGTTGATTTGGAACCAATCCTCTGTATGTTGCAATTCTTCATTTTTTACATGCTTCTAGTCACGCCTGTTTTTCCTTAGTATGCCGGGAAAGAGTACTCTCAATATTTCATACAGTGAGAATAAAATCTCTAAATTTGCATGTAATGTTCCTCTCCCTTCACTTATTTGATCATGCAATTAATTTGTTCAGGTTATGAATGGCAATGGTTGCGTGTTTGATTTTTCAAAATATTTGTCATTTATATACTTGAAGCAGTGATTGCTACCTGCGCATTGTTACCACAAGTCCACAAATGACTTTTGCAGACAAATGAAGTTTAAATTGCCATCAAGAAATCCAGTCATTTGAAGAAGTTAATTGTAGTAGAGCAAAGTCATGGGATTTATGTTAAATATTCAGATAGACCACAGTTCAGTACATCAGGTGGTGACAACCTTGGAAAACAATCAGGCAGGAAACCTTATTCAATAAATCATTCTTCAAACTTGGTTCTTGTGTTGGTTTCTCTTATAGTTCTCATTCTGTTTTGTTAGAATGGTATGATATGTGAAGTAAGAACACATAATTATTTACAAGTGCTCAGAGCTACTAAGATCAACAAAAACTTCAATGAAAGGTTAATACTCCACTCCTGCAGCTTTTTCACATGGAATGTCTATAGCTTTGGATTTATCTTTGTTGTTGATTGTAAATACAAGATGCACAAGTAATGAAAAGGAGTCAGATTATAACATTTTAAATAAATTAAATATCTACAACTCAATTTTGTCTTCACTTCTGTCAACTTTTATTATTTTCTTTCATTAACAATGTCATTTTGAAATAGGTGACAAAATGAGATACGTAAATAAGAACCTACATTGTATTACCTCTTCTTAAGTCAGTTTTTTTACACAATTAATAAATAGAGCATTCTTTAGTAACTAACTGGTTAAATAGCATCAATGCTTTTCTCCCTTAATGACTAATTGTTTGTCCTTTAATCACTGATGTATCAGGCCCTAAGCCAGGGAGGGGAGTGTTCAAACCATCCTTTTTGCCAAATAATGGTCCTTTTTGGGTAAAACTTGATCTAGGTATGCAAAGGCTTCGTGATAAAAGGTCCCTTTCTTCAGAAAAAGAGCCCCACCCCCTTTCCCTTTGAAACAGCTGGCTACAGGCCTGTGTACACTTGTGATACAATGGTATTCAAACCTGCACATGAATGAGTTACAGCACATACCCCAGTACATGTGGCAGGTGAATTTCATTCCCTATAAACATATTGGTCAGTCTATTAATGAGATATGCTTGTGCATGCTTTTAGTACAGACAGCATCACAGATGCTGCCAGAGGGCGAACTTGCAGGATTCCTGCCAAATGGCCCAAATCCTGCAAGTAAAATATGCCAGTGTCCTAAACTCTTGCCAAAAATTCCAAGTCCATGCAATATTTTTGTGACATTGTGCAATTAAAATATAAATTTCAAATATCTATGTTATCTTAGTTTTTGTTTTTTTCTAATGCTATACATATTCTGTCAAATGATGTGAATAAAATATATTTTTTTTAATATGAATGTCTCCCTCATGCCTCTATCAGAATGAATCATGCTATGTATAGATTCTGCAGTACAGAACTTGACATTAATGCTGGCCCGCTCATCTGGGGCCAATGAAAACCAATGTCAGGCCAATTGTAGTGCCGGTGAGTTAGTATATATCTCGATCTGGAAAGGCAGGTCACATGACATAGTTTAAAAAGGGGCCGGCGCTGAGTTGAAAGCCCATATTCCTAGATGAGAGGATGTGCGAAGACAAGAATAAGAGAAAATTACTGTTCGGAGGATGCAAAAGAGCAATTAAGGTAAGAATTACTTGAAGTACCTTTATAGACACAAAAGGGTCTACATTGGCGACGAGGAAGCACGAACTAAAAAGAACCCTGCTGACCAGAAATACAACACAGGTTGGCAAAGATTATTAACAAACGCTTCACTAAAACTAAAAGAAGAAGAATGATTCCTATATGAGACCAAGGAATTGTGACACAATGACACTGCAGTTAATAATAAGGAACATTGGTCCAAAATAAGGAAAGGTTAGAAGGTGAGAGACTAAGTTATCAATGTGCAAAATTCTGTTGTAAAAGCTGCAAGTAGATGAAGATGCTGTAGCTGCTTTTGGGCAGGCCTCATCATAATCCTAAATTTGAATTTTTCAAATTTTGAAGCACTAAACAGGAAGCTACTGAAACAATTGATGCGTACCATGTCAGGTAAAGACATTTAGGGACCAACCGTGGTTTTGAGAACTTGGACTGAGAGACTAAGTCGCATATTATTCAGGGATATGTATCTCATAAGTTGAAAGAAATCTCAGTGAGCAGGCTCTCACACTAGATAACTAACATATGTTAGAACCTTAGAACTATCAGCAGACCTGCCAAGTCTCACGCATCTCGCGTGAGTCTCACGCATTTGGCCACTGCCTCACGCACTCACGCGAGCCTTAAGCTATCTCACGCAAAATGAATTTTTTGTCGTAAATTTTCAAAAACCTAGTTTTTTACGCTTATATCGTGGTTTTATTATCCTTAGCGGTGTTGACTAGTGTTACTGATTAGCCAATCACAATCACTGACGCTTACACGTGGATCACGATTTTTCATGGTGGATTTAAATGACGATGATAGTAGTGGCGATTCAGACATTAATCATGATAAAGGGGATGAAACGGTTCATACCCCGCCACGAAAGCGCATTTGCCAGCATTAATAAACGAAGTGGCAAGCTGCTTGGACTAAGAAATTCCCTTGCATTGAGAGAGTATCGGATTATCAAGCGAAATGCACTGTCTGTTGCCGAAACTTCAGTACAGAGCACTTGGGCGAACGAGATATCGTGCGTCATTTGGATGGCAAGGACCACAAAAAGAAGACTAAGGAAATTGAACAAACGGCTAGAATTGACGATCTCTTCAAACGTAGAACTGCTGATGACACCCAACAGGTATATTCATAGACCTACTGCAGTATGTGATTGTTGGCTAGATAGGTAGTAGATTTTATTTCTATAAAGTGCATGTACGGCTAGCCGCTAGGCTGGTTTTCATTTTCCACTGTAGCTAGTAGTAGGTCTATTGTTGTGGCCAACTTGTGGGCCCTATGTATGTAGAGCAAATATTTTTTCAATATTTTTTGCTACATGATAATCATAAAATAGCTTGGCCTATAGGCCCTATGTAGGGCCTGTCTATTTCCTTTTATGATAATTAATTTGTCTTGTTGGTTAACTAAACAAGGCAGCAAAGCTGTCAAATGTACAGACAAAGAACAGAAAATAAAGATGCAAATAACTGAAAAATTAAATTTTCACANAAGTGCACGGCGACGACGACGGCGACGAAGACAGACGCAGATGATGGCTATATGTACAGACACATCTGTGTCTGTACATAATAAAAGGGCAATATTGGACACATAAATAGGCCTACTCTAACAAAACCATTCCACTACTGAATATATTTGCCAATTAATTCATTTTACTTTTCGTGTTTCGTTACAGATTACAAATGCTGAGGTCCTGTTCACTGGCTTCCTGATTGAACATAATATTCCGCTTGCTGTATCAGATCATGCTGGTCCAATCTTCAGACAGATGTTCCCAGACAGTAGCATTGCCAAGAGGTATTCCTGTGCCCGGACAAAAACTCCTTCTATATTAAATGGAGCTATGGCCCCAGAGATGAAGGCCTCGTTGGTTGCACTGATGAAAGTGGAACCATTTTCTATCTGTATAGATGGAAGTAATGACAATGACCTAAACAAAATGTACCCTTTATGTGTTAGATTGTTTGATGTAAACTGTGAGAGGAGCCAGAATCGTTTTGCAAAGAAAAACAGGTAAGGGGTGGACAAGGAGAGGCAACCAGCATACTACCGCAACCAGGTAACCCTCACCGCGGAAGCCGGGCAGGGTGTTAAGAACTCTCCTCAATAGAGACCGTCGCTTGAGCCTGACACGTTGCCTTCATTTGACAACTAATGTTAAAATATCTACGGAGGCTCAAAAACAGGATGTAGGGGAAAATCAACCAATCGTTTACTTAGGCTTAACTGACCTTCGCATTGAATTTGAACACAGTCACGTGACGTGTGAGAACCGTAAAACTTTTAAACTTTACTCCAATGTGAAAATAAATAAATAAATTACTAAATAAATAAATACCCAATAAATCTATTCGCCGCTTTCAACCTTATGATGGTTTGATCGTGAACGTGATCATTCATGTGTTGACACTTATCTAGGTTCAACATGGATGATTATTGTGGTGAAAATACCCCTGGTATGGACCACGAAGGCACAGACAATGACTCAGATTTCGACCCCAGCTCAGATAGCAATGATTCAGTGAAGGCTGAAGAAAAAGTAGGGTCACATGAAGAACAATGCGATGAAGCATCTAAAAGAGATAATGAAGAAACCACCTTCCAGGAATTACCCAAGGCAAAGCAAGGCGAAGTTTATTCTCTGTATACCCAGTGAAGAATGGAGTTCCAAATTCGTTATAAAAGTTGACAAAGTGATCGCCATCTTGGTGGAGAATGGACCAGTCTTTTTTTTTTTTGCAGCATTAGAAGCAGAAAATTCAACCTGCCCACTGGTCTTCAAAGGAAATCGAATAAAAGGAGATAACATTCACTTCACAATTGCCCCTTTTTTTCAGGGGTAATGTCATATGTATGTTTCAGGAGTGTATCAGATACGGGCTGACAATAAAAAAGTTCAGAGAAAAGCGGAATGTGAAAGTTAAAACACGAACCATCCCACCTTATGTCGCCATTAAACACAATAAAGGGAAAACAAAGGGGAGGCCTATAAGAGGTATTGAAAGGGAAGAGGCAGCTGAAGATCTCCAGAAGAACTCTCCCTAAAACGTTTATTACGAGAGGTTGGGGAGGACAGTCACGGCAGCATTCCAGGCAGGTAATACATCTCACATAGCAAATAAAAATGTCCTGCAAAAAAATATCTTCGGAGGCACGTCTGACAGAATGCTTCCACCAAAATGTATTCATTGAGCTTGGTGTTCAAAAAGAGGTTTACGAAAGCCTGGAAGACAACAAATCTGGTGTGATAAGGGGGTGCATCCAAAGAAAACAGAAAAAAATCCTAAATGATCCTTCTCCTGTTCCGTCTGAGACTTCTTGTCTATCAGATTCAGATAGTGACAGCTCTATCAGAGACAGCTCTTCCTATCGGGATCCTGTGCCCGCGATTTTGCAAAGCCAGTACCCAAGCCCAGAAAATCTTTAAGAAACAGAAAATTTTAGGAGGAGAATTGAGTCAGTATTCTTTTTTTTTATATACAGCTGTAGGGCCAGCTTTTATGTAGGGGGGAGGACGTAGCAGTAGTACTTGATTTCTTATTTTGTTATTTATTTCATCATATTTTCAGTCTATTCCATTTTTATACTTCCGTTCCTTATTTTCAGTCTTCCCTGATTTC